GTAGTAGTAGTAGTATTGGTAGTGTTGGTGCTGGTGTGCCGCTCCTACAGTTGGCGATGGAGTTGGCCCCTTTAGATCCAGCGGCGGGTGAACTCCCCACCCGACCGGTGCTGATGGAGATGAATGGCGGGGAACTGGATGGACTGATAGAGGCGCTGGGGGAGGCCTTGGGCCCATAATTTAATTCTCGCATGTGAGAAAAGAAAAAAGATGTGGAATCTCCAAAGGGGATACGGAACCCTAATCGACAGACTCTCACATATCCGGTGTGGTATAGTGGCTAGAACAAGCGGCTCTCACCCGCTAGACCCGGGTTCGATCCCCGGCATCGGAAACTTTTTTTCTCTCCCATCGTCATTATCAAATAAAATTTCTTCATTTGAATTATTCATGGGATGGTGGATTAAAAATCTGGTACTGAAGCATAAAAAAAAAAGAAAAAAAGAATTAAAAACAGCTCTGGTGAAGTTGCGCAAAGGTTTTTTTTTTTTTTATCCTTTTGATAATCTCTTTTATTCTAGTTGCAGTCATAAAGTCCCCTACTTTCATTTTACGTTATATGACACTCACAACCATTTCATTCACTCACGTCTTTTTCAGACTACTCTTGTATTCTTGAATTATAGAGAGGAGTGGAATTATTATTTTATTTTATTTTTTGCTATTCCACAGTATATTTGGCAATGAAAAAAAACATATTTTGGAATGTCTGTAATATGAGCCATCTATTTGGATCGCTTTATCATGGTATCGAATAAAACAGAAAATCTGCTTCATTAATCAATAAAAAAAAACTGTAGAAAGTGAAATTTATTTCTCACATATTTTGTGTGGTTTGTTGATATACACCTTCAGTTAGTTAGTTAGTGATTATTACGTGACACATTATTAACGTTTTTTTTTTTTTTTCTCTTCGCCAGTGTGCACTTTGCACACTACCCCCTCGTTATTATTATTATTATTATTATTTTTCTTTCATTCTTTAATACTCGACATTATTCTGATTTTGGAAAGCAAAAAAAGGGACCTCTTCCCCTTTTATTTTTTTTTTCTTATTGTTTGGACCAGCGACTCCTGTTGAGGCAGACAAAAGGAGTTTTTTTTTTTTGTATCGTTGGAAAGGGTTGGGAATACTAGGAGAGTATATAAAGTAATATACTCCTGATAGAAAAAAAAAATAATCAAATAATGAATGCGGATAATCATGCAGCTGATGGGGATAAGGACCTTTTGGAGTGTATCCTCCGACTGCCTCTTCCAAGTGCTGAGTCAGCACATATCATGATGCAAGTGCTACGTGTGGAAACACCTGTGGCAGGTACAACAAAGGATGTTCAACTTTGGGCTGATGATACCACACGTTCCACAGTATATATTAAAGTAGAAGCAGTTCAGGAACGTTCGTTACGCGCTGCTGTTGGCGGCCTTTTAGAACAGGCTAAACTTATTTTAAGAACAATGGATACATTTCCTGCTGTGGCACAACACGCTTCATGAGTTGCACAAAGAGAGTTATTATTCCTTATATTTCTCCCTCTTTACTTGGAAGACGTGAAGTGTCTTGTGAGATTCAGATGTATTTTCTTCTTTCTTGACTACGTTTATGTTCTTTTGTAAAAATACACCAGTGTCTTCTTTTTCCCAATCTTTTTTTTTTGATGTAGGATTTTTCTGTAACGAAATAAAAGAAACTAATGTCTGTCAAGGACGTCAACAAGATGAGTGGCGAGCTGGAGAGCAAGCTCAAGGGCAAGCTGTTCCTTGGCGGAGCAAAGCCGTCTGCGGAGGATGTGAAGATGTTCAGTGACTTGCTGGGCGCCGGGAACACATGCGTGTACCGCTGGGTGAAGAATATGGCCTCCTTCACGGAGGCGGAGCGCAAGGCGTGGGGAGCCCCAGTGAAGGTGACACCCCCGCCGGCTGCTGCGGCCGCTGCCCCTGCTGCTGCTGCTCCCGCGAAGGAGGCACCCAAGAAGGCAGCCCCCGCTCCGGCAAAGAAGGAGGAGGAAGACGAGGACATTGATCTCTTTGGTGAGGTGACAGAGGAGGAGAAGGCCGCACTCGAGGCAAAGAAGAAGAAGGACGCTGATGCCAAGAAGGCCAAGAAGGTGGTCATTGCCAAGTCATCAATTCTCTTCGACGTGAAGCCATGGGATGATACAGTCGATCTGGAGGCACTCGCCCAGAAGTTGCATGCTGTGAAGCGCGACGGTCTTCTTTGGGGTGACCACAAACTTGTTCCAGTGGCGTTTGGGCTGAAGAAGCTTCAGCAGCTGATTGTCATTGAGGACGACAAGGTTTCTGGTGATGACCTCGAGGATCTTATCATGTCATTTGAGAACGAGGTGCAGTCTATGGACATCGTCGCCTGGAATAAGATTTAAACGCCCTCCCATTGTTGAGAAAAAGAAAAAAAAAAGGGAAAAATGCGAGAGAATGGAAGGTGATAAAAATAAAAAGAAATAAGTTGGGACATAGGAAGCATGAGTATGGGGGAAGTGTGGGAGATTGGTTCTCTTTCACTGTCAAACATTCTCTCTTTCTTTCCATTACATATAATGATTTCATTCATTATTTGAGTTAAAAACCATGAAGAACTTAACCTCCCATTCTTTTCCGGGACTTGTTTTTCTGATTGTAGCTAGGAAGCTGGCCGAAGTGGTGGGATCCCAAAAGATCTAGCAACAGTTATGAGAGAACCTAATTATTCCGCTTTTCTTTTGTTTCCACAGTCCCGTTTTTTTTTTTTTTCTTCGCTCATCTTTTGTTCACCTGCTTCTTTTTTTTTTACGACATCTGAGAGTTAGAATGTGCTTTAAGATACCATAGTTGTGCATATAAATTGTGTGGATGTGAATAGTAATAACCGTATTTCTTATCCGTCTTCTTTTTCCCAATCTTTTTTTTTTTGATGTAGGATTTTTCTGTAACGAAATAAAATAAAATAATGTCTGTCAAGGACGTCAACAAGATGAGTGGCGAGCTGGAGAGCAAGCTCAAGGGCAAGCTGTTCCTTGGCGGAGCAAAGCCGTCTGCGGAGGATGTGAAGATGTTCAGTGACTTGCTGGGCGCCGGGAACACATGCGTGTACCGCTGGGTGAAGAATATGGCCTCCTTCACGGAGGCGGAGCGCAAGGC